TATATAGATATAATCGTATACATATATATATATATATATATAATCGTACCGCATGCGGAACGCCTGGTACCGGATACAATGTGATGCATGCGTGCATAGTATGTCCCGTACACTGTGCTCTTACATTCTACCTGCGTAGTGTCAGCGGAGTTTTCATCCATTTGTGGTTTTATTTAGAGCTAAGCGTCTATGGTTGATGGGCTGCTTCATTATGAATACACGATCCAAGTCGCACGAGCAGAGCAGCACACAGAGGCGAAACACTATGCCGTTCTAAAGAAAAATAAATAAATAAAGAAAAATGCAAAGTTTCTGGCGCAGTTAACCACAGCAGTGAAAGATTAAAACCTAATTGAACCACCGCCTCCTGAAGTTTTAGAAGGCTTTGACTGAACCTCACCACAACAACCCTACTCCCCTACTCTCACCCTGTGCCACAGATCAGCAAGGATGTCTCCATCGTCGAGGATGCGGATGTGCTTATCATGCCCTTGCCGTCGTTTGCGTACTGGGATATCCTCAAAGGCATCAAGAGCCACCTGCGTGAAGGACAGTATATCTGCGTCACCCCTGGACAGGGTGGCTTCGATTGGGTTGCGCGTGACGTGCTTGGAGACGAGCTTTTCAACAAGCTCATTGTATTCGCCACTATGCCCATGCCGGTATGCGTGTGTGTGAGATTACTACGAGGTGTAGCTGTCGTGCATGGGGGTGTGTGGGTGGGTGTGGTTGGAACTGCAAATGGGTCTATAATGGTGGTGTGTATACGTATGACACATGTCGCATAACATATTTGGGCAGGGCATTGAGCGTGCTGTGGCCCCCATTTGCGCGTGAATTGATACTTGTAGTTTCGATATAGACTCGAATCATGTATCTCCAGTCCCGCGTTAAAGCTGTTGCTCGCAGACGTTTCTTTAGGCCAAAACCCTAAACCCTAAACCCTGAGCCGTCTACCTCTAAAATTCTCGTGACCACAGTTCAACTGTCGCATCACTGAGTTTGGCAAGCACGTCGAGGTGCAGACACTCAAGACGCACTACGTTGTGGGCACTACTCGCAAGGACAGAGCTACGGACGTCCAGAAGCTCAACGAAGGCATCTTCGGGGGGCAGGCGAAGGTCACCGGAAACTTCTTGAGCTGTACACTGTACCCCATTAATGCCATTATCCATCCTCAGCGGTTGTACAGGTGTGTTGTGTGTGACGGACTGTGGTTGCTGTGTAGGTGTGTTGTGTATGACGTACTGTGGTTGCTGTGTAGGTGTGTTGTGTGTGACATACTGTGGCTGCTGTGTAGGTGTGTTGTGTGTGACGGACCGTGGTTGCTGTATAGGTGTGTTGTGTGTGACGTACTGTGAAGATGATGTGCTTGTGCCTGTATTAGCCTCTCTGACGTAATTCTTTACATACTATCGCAAGGTTGTGCAAGGACTGGAAGGAAGGTGATGTGCTGCCCGAGAATCCACTGTTCTATGAAGACATGGACGATGAGAGCGTCGAGTACATGGACATAGTGAATAAGGTTCGGTTCATAACCGTATACACGTGATGTACATTGCACGTGATATATATTCTATGGTGCTCTATACCTTATGTGATGGCGTGGGGTATGTTGTGTAGCCCAATACGCCAATCGACATTGAGTGCATGGTGTCAGTACCAGAGTACACGCAGTTAAGGCGATAAATGCGTTGGATTTTTGTGTCAGTGCCCATACTCACCTGTATTTGCGTGGGAGTGTGGGTGGGTTGTGTTGTGTCTTGTTCTGTGTAGTATCCTTTTCCATATCGGATAGGGTGTGGTTGAGTTTCGGGTCATTTACCGCTTACACTCACCGGTGGACAGTGAACTGGTTGATTCTATATATCATCCGCATGTCTCCATAATTTGGCCGCCTAGTATGCCATCGAGCATAGGCCGGATAGTATGCCCACAAAACACAAGAATTCACCTCCCGCCCCCTCTCCTTTCCCTTTATGTATATTTCTATTGCGTATTACAGGAGTTGATTGAGATTGCGACGGCGTTACGCGAGCAAGGAACCGATACTGAAGTGCCTCACATCTTCGATTTTCTCAAGTACATCTATGGTGACTTTGACAGTCTCAAGCATATCTTTGCCGAGAACAACGCTTACAAAGGATTCCGCTGCCCATTCAAGGAGGTCGAAGGTACGTGCATAGACGTATATGTAGATTTATATATATAATGTTTGCGAAAAATATACTATTCAGCCCATTCACTCACGTTTTTACACACCTCCACGTGCGTCGTATGTCAGTGACGAACAAAAGTTACGTCTAAGTTGTTTAATGCTCGTTTTCATGTCTGTCCATGTGCTCATGTGTATGCATCGCTCTCATCCCTCAACACATGTCATTTGCATTTCGATGGTCGGCGTCAATACAATCTTGAACTAACTCGTGTGCATGTTTGGTACCAGGCGGTTACGTCCCAGACTTCGAGAACCGCTACTTCACAGAGGACATCCCGGAGGGTCTATGCATCTACAAGGTAAGTGTAGCATCCATGCATGCGAAGTGTGGAAACATTGCACACAGTTCATGGTTATATACATTATTTGTGAGTAGGTAAGGATATATATATATAATTATATTCTTACGAGTATGCATCCACATTCTCATATCTCGACGCTTTCCCACCATAAAGGGAGTGGCTGAGATTGTTGGGGTAGAGACGCCCATGCTTGATAAAGTGTTTAACTGGGCCTCGAAGCACATGGGCAAGGAATATTTGGTGGACGGCAAGATGACCGGCAAAGACGTGGGCCAGTCACACGCTCCGCAGCGCTTTGGGTACAGAAAAGTCCAAGACCTGACACCCAATCTGTAGATAGCAAGCACGTGTTACGAACACGTACCTCGCATATACAATACACACTACACGCACACGGAGGTGTGTGAGAGGAGCCTGTTCCTAGATTCGTTTCAATGCGTTGTATGCCGAGTTATGGATGTACTGCCTGTTGCTGACGGTGGCCAGGTGATGCGATACATGTGGCCCTATGCAGCGTGCTTCGCCCCACACACACGTCAGTGTCAGTGCAATCCACACACTTGAGTGTCAGGGCAATAGTCCATCGTCCATGGAGGCTGTGGGTGTGGGCTGTGGGTGTGGGCTGTGGCTCTATTGGTAGACTGAGAGGTGTACCGATGTCGTGGTCTTGTGTGTTCGTTGCGGTGGTAGGGGGTGAGCATGGGCTTGAGTGTCTTTTAAAGAGATATGACTTTATGTTCAAATGAAGATGGCCATGTTCTCGAATTCTGAGAGATATGAACTTGTATACATCACCTGTGTGCTTTGGGTTGGGGGTCATGTGAATCCGCTAATCATGGCACGGCCTTGGGTTATTCGTCGTCAAAGCAAAGTGCAGGTGTACTTCATCGCACTCGCACACGCACACCACGTGGTAACGGTGCAACCCAACTGTAACACACACACACGCCGCCAAGGCTTCCATTGGGGTCAGTCACATACCTACCAACACAAGGCTAAACATAAAAAATAAAATGGGGTCCAGTGCATGGTAATACCATAGCACAACTAAATACGGCTGCAATGTTCTGTGTCATTCTATATATAGTTAAGGCTGTGTGCTGTCTGCGTTGTGCCCGTACGATGAAATGCGTCAGTGCGCCTGGTGGGTCATTTTATATATATAGGGTTTTAGGGTTTGCAAAACAGGCTGTTGTCACAGGGAGATGCTGTCACATTGGTCTTTGGCTTCTGGCTTCGTTTATATAGAGCACTTAGCAATGGGTGAGCTCGGCCTTCTATTTTGGTTCGTCTGTTTACTCATGTGTGTGAATCCTGTCAGATTCTTCGGGTTCGTTGCAAGTCCTAAACTGGGCTTGTCCAGTCCTATTTTATGTGGCCAGGGCTATCCATCACGCACTCGCATCATATAACCATCATAATCAAAACCTGTTCGGTACCACATGCCGCGCACTGTACGACTGCTTCTGCTGCGTTTGGCGCGTGTAGGTAGATGCCACCGGTGTTGTTTATATGACTATGATACGTGTACCGTTACATGCACACACTCACTCCTACAGCGCAGAGCTGCGACAAACACCCATCAACGCGTCCAATGAGCATGTACACGACACCTCGAGCGGCTTCGTAGTAGAGAAGCGATACGCTGGACTACATACATGCACGAGTGCTTGAACATCAGTGCGTGCTGCTGAACGCACACCCACTCACTTGTGGAGCGAGGGCACCCAAGTGTGTACAACGCTTACGGATACTGGGCAGCTATAAATAAATATCTAGAGGTCTAGAGCTAGAGTTATACACTCGGATTATGTAATCTATATCTTCCTATCTTAATATTCATTGTTGTATCGTCCATCGCTAGGTACTGTAACCTCTATCATTACCAATTACGATTACTGATTCATTCCAGCCTGGTTTTTCTATAACCGAGACATCTCCATGTGCTCGCTGACCAGACACAACGGCCCGTTGGTAGTACAAGTCATTTAAGATGTGGATAGACCCGGCCTGCAGCACTAATGATGCACTGCATTCGCATCTCATAACTCGTTAAATCCATTGAATACATCGTAACGTCAAAGACGTCCGTGCGCTGTGTCTGCTCGACACTGTGTGTGTGTGCAGCATACATGGCACTCTGTGTGTGTGTGTGTGCCTAGTTCACATGAACCACTGTGCGTGTGCACAGCATGTATATAACTATATACGAGGCAGGCCTACATCTGTACTTACTGTGACTGTTGTTTATTTATGCTCGTTGTGTCGTCGTAGCCACTTTAATATCCCTTACTACAAGTCTTCTGCCGATACGGCTGGCGCGTGGCTGCTACGTCTGTGCCCAGGCGTTCGCTGAGTGTCTTGTGAGGCGTAGCTGTTCATACTACGCACTCAGGGCGGCCTTGTCGATACAGTCCTTAAACTTCATCACAAAACACTCAGAACCACGTACACCCTCTTACGATGTGATGTGGACTTCATCACAATACACTCAGGAACACGCACCCCCTCTGAAGATGTGATGTGGCTGCGCCAGCAAAGAAGGCCCTGCGATGCGACAGACCACTCGACGTGCGCAGCTCATAGTCAACCGCAGAGCACCATCGTCCACAGACCACACTAACTGTGCGGCTAACCAACAACTTAATTGTCCCTAGTTTCAAACAACCTGGGTAACCCTGGCTTCAAGGACTTCACATCAACTCCGCACTCTGTACAACGCAACACCGGCCACCGAGCCCTTCCCACGGGAGGGTGGGTACATTGCGCATAGAACACCCCGGTGTCTCTTTGGCCACACCGGTCCTGACTTGCGCAGTCCAGGTGCAGCCCTCCCAGGCGCATCCACACACCCTTCGTATGGCAGGCGCACAGTCGCTTGCCAGGCCAAACACAGCCAACGTGTGCGTGTGCGTGTGTAGGGCTACACATGTGTGCGCGAGTATACGTGACTGTGAGGTGCTGTGTGGCTATACTAGCGTCTCTTATATATCATATCTTTAACTAAATGTGCATCGCTTATATCATACCTCTTAACTACCTTATCCCATTCCCCTGATCACGCTCACTACAGCCACGACGCAGTTCGTGCCACGCGTTTGCTGCGCTTATGATGTTTAAATTTCAGTTTCGCACTAATCTGTGAGTCCTTTCGCCCAAACGTACTCTGTCGCGCGAAGGCCATACCAAATTCGGCTTCGTCCTACGGAAATTAAGATTACAAATCATTAGTTTCCAAAAGAAAGGCCAAAACCCAGATGAATGGACAATAAAGTGATCCCCATACCACACGTCAGACAATTGTATAGCAACACCAAATACACGCACGCACACATCCGTTAGCACAAACATACATACACACATACCGAAAGAAACAGGCGCACACATCCGTTAGCACATACATACATACATACCAAAAGCACACATACGTTAGCACATACATACATACACACCAAAAGCACACATCCGTTAGCACATACATACACACATACATACATACAAAAAGCACACATCCGTTAGCACATACATACATACATACCGAAAGAAACAGGTCCTCATCCTTTGGGTCGTCCACCGATTGATCGTTGTGTGCGTGTGCTTGTGCGACCGAAAGCGCGCTCGGCAGTTCGGCTACCACGCTCTCTTCCTTTATGGCCATGGCGTCGGCCATGTCTACATTACTCTCTCGCCGGCTGGTGAGGTAGTGTGCTGTGCTATGCTCTAAGGCTGGTTGTGTGGGGTAGTGTGCTGTGTTGTCCTCTAGGGCTCGTTGTGTGGGGTAGTGTGCTGTGTTGTCCTCTAGGGCTGGTTGTGTGGGGTAGTCCCCTGGACTGCGTTCGCCCCAGGCGATGTAGTTGGTCACATACTTGGAGCTTTCAGGCAGGTTGTACGGGTCGTACGGGAAGAAGGAGTCTAAAGCGCTGAACTCCTTGGCGCCCTGGGCGGAGCTGACCATGGCTGTGTTGCGTGTGATGACGGCGTAGCAGTACACGATCTGGTGCAGCTTCATGACCCGCGCAAACTCCTCCACAATGGACTTGAGCACAATCTGCATGGGGTTGAGGTTGCAGATGACCATCTTCTCCAGCCGCAGCTTGCGCACCCACGCGTCGCCGTACTCGCGCATGATGGCGTCGTGCTTGAAGCACAGCACATACATCACCGCCTGGCAGACCCCGTAAAACACCCGGTGTTCCACCAGATTGGCCACACTGCCCGGGTGTAGCTTGTCGTCGTGTGTGTCGATGTACTTGCTGATAAACTCAGCCATCTTGCGCAGTGCGTGTGCGGCGGTGTGTACTGTGACGAAGGCGTGTCGCGTGACAATGCCGCCCACATACGCAGCCGCGGCAATGCGCTCGACCGGATTGGCCCGCGGGTTATACAGACGCTTCTCCAGGAAGCTGATGAAGATGGGTGGGTTTGACTCATGGAACGAGCACAGCTTGAACAGCACAAACTGCACGTACTTGCTTTGGAACGTGGGCAGTAACACATCATCGAAGGCGCCGACCATGCTCACAAACACCCCCTTCATCCTCTCTCGGTTTTCGGCCGGGGTCTCGCCGGCTTTAATCGCAGACGACACTTCCAGGTACTCGAACATCACACACATCAGGCGATCCAGCTTGTGCGCCATTACTGGCAGGGGTATGGTCTTCTTCTGGGCCTCCTGCGCGACCTCGCCCTCCTGCACCTGGACCAGCGGCTGTCGGGACTCATTCGGTCCTGTATCCCCTTCCACAGTATCTACCAACACCAGCTGGTCTTCCCTCACATGCTCACTGGTACCGTACCCTTCGGCCTCAGTCATGTCCACCTCATTCTCCATGTAAACGTCCTGGTCGGTGCTACTGACGCTGCTGCTGTCATCCTCACTGCCGCTGCCGTCGCTGTCATCGTCTTCATCACTTTCACTGTCGTTGTCGCTGCTCTCGTCGTCGTCAAGGTTACGCAGAGACTCGGTGATCTCCACATCCAGTTTGACCAGACGGTGCACCGCAAACCTGAGAATTTGGTTGCGCAGGACCGGCAGGTACAAAAACACGGTCAAGAAGTTGCGCAGATACTTCTCATTGGCAAACGCTGACCGGCGTCTGTGCGGGAAGTTTTCCTTCAGCACTTCCAGGAGGATATTAACACACCCCGGCACGGCATTGGTGATACGGATTAACGCGTCGTGTGCGTCGTGGAAGAGCTCATACTGTGTGCGGCCGTTGCGGAACAGTTGGGCATCGCCCTGCTGCTTGGGTTTAAGGTCAGACCCTTCCTCATCCTCCTCATCCTCTGACACGTCTTCGTAGTCCGGGCGTTCGTTGGGTGGCAGGAAGTTGAGAACGATGTATTTGATGACTGGACGGATGTGTGCCGAGTGCGCGGATATCAAGTGCTCCAGCAACGCTACTTGCGCATCCAGGACTTCTTTGGAAATGAGCCACCATTTGAGCTGCACCGATTTGGGGTCAAGGACAAGGACACGGACAAGAATGAGGTGAGTACACAGCGGAGATGAATGGGGGTGCACAGATAAGTGTAGTACTATCAGCTCAGACGATGATAACATACAGTGACTGTGGCGACGCGCATTGGCAGTGTGTGCGATGAACTATGCATGGAAATGCAGAATATATCTCAGGCTACAGATGAAAGACGAAGGATAAGGCCACCCCACACAATCTCTACGCCATAGGGCGGTGGCTGTCTATGAGAAGGACAAAGGATAAACAATAGCAGCGCCAATGTGTGTGTTTAAATCTGGCACGCTCATGCAGTTTCCATGTGCATGTGTGTGGTATGGGCCCGGGATACGATACCGGCAGGATGAAGACTTTGCTGAGAACTAACAGTTTGGTAGTCATCAGAATACATCCGAAATACCAACACCGAATCGCTCCAGACTGTAGAATAACCCTATATCACAAAGCAATTTTATACATATATTGGTGACAGATATCAAAGGAACCCTATGGAAAACTACATATGTACTATCTTCATACATACAATTCCGCTAAAATAATTACACAAACATATATTACAGACAAATTAATACTAGATATCCACACTTCAAAACCCATATACACTCAGAAATATTTCAAACTACAGATACACATACTTGACATTGTTTTTATACATACATATATATATATGCATATATATATATATATATATATATAATATATGTATTATATATATATA